TCGCGGAGCACAGGCTCCGGACACGCAGGCTCAGTGGCCATGGCTCACGGGCCCAGCCGCTCCACAGCATGTGGGATCCTCCTGGACTGGGGCACGAACCCGTGTTCCTTGCATTGGCAGGTGGACTCCCAACCACTGTGCCACCAGGGAAGCCCAGTATATATATATTTTAAAAAATGTAGAGGCTCCAGTTAATGCTATAACTCATCAAGGAACTTTCACTCTTTTCTTTGCTAGGGAGATAGAGGGCAGCACTGATGGCCTTAGTCTACTCATTGACTGAGCTTGGTTGAGGTTGGATTGCAGCTTATCCCAGGTCACCCCTGTTCTTAGGACTTGGTCTTCTGGGGCTTCTTAATGAGTGTCTTGTGGAACTGCATCTTCTCAGTGGAGAGATATGGTGTGGAATTTCTACTCTGATTTTGAGAGTTTTTTATTTAATAGCTTTTTTGAGCTATAAAATTCACCCACATTAAGTGTACAGTGGAATTCAGTATATTTACAGAGTTGTGCAGCCATCACTGCAATCTAATCTAGGCTATTTTGAGAGGTTTTGGGCTTAGCTCTTTAGCCTCCTACCCCATGAAGCTTCGGAATTGACAGATGTCTTGAGGGAGAGACTTACTCTGTGCTGAAGCCCATAAATCTCCATTTTTGTCACTCTCCTAGCCTACAGGACTGCTGAAAGTTCTGCTGGCTTTTCCATACCCCACCTGTGACACTGCCAGGAACCAGCCTGGATTTTCAGTTTCTAGAAGTGCTGATGCTTCCGTATTGGCCCATGCCCTCATGTAAAATGTAGTAAGATATTGCCAGGGTCATCTCATCATTCCCTCAAGGGCTCCTGACTCTTACTTGTTCTTTTCCTCCCAGGTCTTTTGCTCCTAAGCGCTGGGAGACTGCAAGAAATCCCTCTGCTTTTCTAAGGTCTCAGTTTAATGTTTTAACCTCCTGTTCTGTATCTTTGGAATGTCAGTGTTTTGAGGGAGAAAGTGGCCATGTGCCTGAGGCCATTCACTTCTCCAGTTTTATCACCATCCTGCACAACCAAAAGATCCCACTGGTTTCTCTGTCTCCCAGCATTGGCCCCCTGCCTGTCCTCGCCCTGATTTTTGGCATGTAGCCAACGTCAGGATCAGCATGTGTCCCCAGGGACAGAAGCAAATCCTCAGCTCACCTCTTGAAAGTTCCTTCTCTGAAATGTTATCCCGTTTGGTCCTTGTTGCTTCTACAGCTTTCTTACGCCTTAATATATAATTTAAAATTTGTCTGGCTTTTCTTTTGTTTTCAACAGCATATTGGCCTCCAACCTACTTGAAAGCAAAAGTTAAATTAGCCTCACCTCTTGGAAAGGCCCCAGTGCCTTTCTCGTCTCAGGGTCTTTACCTGGGCTGTTCCCATTGTCTGCTCCACTTGCCCTCTGACTTCACGTGCTGTGTGGCTTCTTCCAGTTCTTTGGATCTCATCTCAGTTTGTAATAACTTACTTATTAGTACTTAATCATTTATTTTCTGTTTTTTCCATAATAATTTATGCTCCATGAGTAAGAGTCATGTTAGTCCCTAATAATGCTTCTAGTAAGCTCTCAATTGAATGAATAAATACTAAAAAGAATTAGTGGATGAATAATTCAAAAAAGAAAATTGGGCTTTATTCTCTTAGGGAAATTTTTACTTATATGGTTTTTTTGTGTCACTGGTAGATAACTTCTAAATTTATATTTCTAGTCCAACATTTTCTTTATTTCTCTTATGCTTTTACTTTATTCAATTAAGTATATTTTGATCACTTGCTGTATCAGTAGCTCTGTGCCAGTTATTTTGAGGTTTACTACGAAGAATTTTAGTATAGCTCCTTTCCTCATATATAGTGCTATCAATTTTAGTAGACAACTCATAAAACTTACAATATATATAACACTGAAACATGTAGTAAACATTCAGTATATTATTATTGTTGTTGTTGCTGTTATTATTTAAACAAGTACCCTAGGTCAAGTATACTTGAAGTGCCTTCTGAGAACCGATTTTTGCTGGTTTTCATGGGACAAGGAGTCTACGACAGAATGCATGTGAACTTTATTACTAATTACACTGCTTAGTTTAGCCTACTTTTTTATTTTATTTTTTTTAAGCAAGACTTTGTGGATAAAGGAAGCAGTTTGTTGATTTACATTTTGGTGCTAGCTCATTATCTTCTTGGAGACCACAATAAATAATTCACAGACAAGCATTTTGAGTAGCACTACTTGAGATGATTTCAGTACAAGTGATCTTGGCACCAACTTTTGAGTTAGAGGATAAATTGCCTACCTTTTTTTCCCCAGATTACCAGCCATTTACTAGACAAGAAAAAATGAAATAAATGAATCCAGCAGTCAACTGAAGAAGTAAATAATAAGAAATATAAACCAAAGGAAAGCAGAAGAAATTCATTCATAAGTATAGAAAGACATTAGTAAATGAAAATGCAGAAAAAAATTGTGTTTTCCTAAAAAATGAGAAAGAATAGATGATCCATTAACTGGTCTAATTAAGAAAAAAAGGTGAAACTCAGCAAACAAAATTAGGAATACAACAGGAGCATTATATATACAGAGGAACAGAAAAGAATTATACAAATATTCTACATACTTCTATGTTAATAACTTTTAAAATTTAGATAAAAAGGAAATAATTCTAGGACTACATAGTTGTAAAAAGATGATGCAGAAAGAAATGAAATGTTTAAATAGCTCAGTAAGCATAGGAGACACTGAAAAAAAAAGTTTTCAAAGGTACATTTTTTTCATATCTTAAGTTTTAAATATTCCTAAACCATTGAGACAGTTCCAGGGAATAGTGAAAAAAAGGAACATTTCATCTTTTTACTCTAGCCAGAAGCTAGAGTGACGCTGACAAGCACTCCTGACTTTCAAAAAGATTTTTACAGGCTGGAGAGAGCAAAAGAGCAGGGGAGGGAGAGAGAGAAACTGGCAATTTCACAAGGACTTCACAAAATGGATCTAAGGAAAACTAAATTTTACTATCCAAGTGGGGGGCCAGGAATAGGCCTTAAGCCTTCTAAAACTCCTGTTGCTGAGGAATGAATGGCCTGGGGGATCAAAGTTATTTCCTTGATTCTAAATCTCCATTAACTGTAAAACCATTATTATTATTTTTTTTTTTAGTAGCAGCGTGAATCAACATTTTATTTAATTTGAGAACTTACATTATACTTATGATTTTTCTTGCCATAATATATTTTAAAAAGACAAACAACTGTCTTCACACTTGGTTACTAGTCTTTATTATTATTGATAGTGTGGAAGTTAGCAATGCCTTTTTTGTGGCTGCTCTTTTTTCTTATTTAACATCTTTATTGGAGTATAATTGCTTTACAATGGTGTGTTAGTTTCTGCTTTATAACAAAGTGAATCAGCTATACTATACACATATCCCCATATCCCTTCCCCCTTGCGTCTCCCTCCCACCCTCCCTATCCCGCCCCTCTAGGTGGTCACAAAA